CCCGGTTACCTTCCCCTTCCTTTCCCCGCTTCCCCGCGGTTACGTTTGAAACGTCACGTATCATCTTTTTTCTCCTTACAAGGATAATGTTTTATACCCAAACGACGTCCATGTCTGAGCGTTTTGAGCCTGGCGTCCACGGCTAGGATGGACTGTCTCTTTTTGTGTTTATTTTCAGGCCTGAACTGATTTTTTGGTCTATTTTTATAGCTCGCAGGTTAATGGGCATCTTGATTTATTAACACTGCACAAAAATGGCCCTTCAGCTGTGTCTCCTTGAGGTGAATTTTACCTCTGCTTAGCTGCCAGCCATGTGTGGCTACTCAGAGATACTGAGAGGCTACTCAGAGATGTGTGGGATGGTATCTGGCCTTTATATTTTATTCTTATATGTTTTCTTGTCTCTTCATAACAAAATCTCTCAAGCTAATTAGGTTGCAGCTGTGTCAGATCCCTTTTGTTCTCGGTCCTGGAAGCTTTCAAAACCATTTTCCTTGAGTATTTAAAGAATATGTTCTTCATGTTTTATTTAACAAACTCAGAATCATCTGACCCTTTCTCGCCACCTCCAAGTGTTAACCGTATAGTACGGAAAACTAAGTTTACAGATTTATTTCCTGATTTCATATGACCCGTAGCTATAAACACTTACTAGATAAGGGAGTTGCATGCTCAAATGAACGGGAATGTGATGCAATGGTTGATTTGCCCCATGCCGTCCATTTTGGACCACCTTGCCAAAAAATAAGGTATGTATGCCACCACAGAAGGGAATATTAAAATATAAAGCTGAGTGAGTTTTTCAAATGTCCATTTTTTCAAGGTTTGTGGGTTCGTTCTTGCCTGTTGATGTGATTTTCCTTTTTCTCTTTGAAGGAACTAGGGGACGTTAGTGAATCTGCAGAAGAGTCGATTAATTTTAATGTTGGTGGCTGGCATTTTTCAATTCCCCAAAGTAAAGTTGCTCAGTTTCCTGAGTCTCTGCTGTGGAAAGAAGCCTCTGTACTAGATCCGTCTGAAAATCTAAGATTATTTATTGACCAAGATGGATTTACATTTAGACACCTTCATTATTACCTGCAAACTTCAAAACTATCTTTTTCCAGCTGTGCTGAATTGAATTTATTGTATGAGCAAGCATTAGCTTTGCAGCTGACTCCTTTATTACAGGTAAAAATGGGCTATTCTGCGTGACTTTTCTATAGACTTTGTTCGTTCCTAGATAATATTGGTTGTAGAAGGATGTCAAGGAGATTGTGCATATAACCTTACCAATATCTGGAATAGGTATCCAGGCAATTAATTTCCGTATTCAACTCATCTGTAATAACTGGTGAGTACAGAAAATGTTCCAAATTTGATTTGTGATCTGCCAGAGGACTTCCAGCAGTCATTGCTTATTTTTACTACATTGAAACCCAACAGAGGCTTTTGTCTGCTATCAGTTATGCTCATTGCTTTATGTCAATTATACTGACCAGTCTTTATGAGCCTGCTAATCTGAAAAAAGGTACCATTGCCCTTCCTGTTGTTGCTCGTGAGGGTTCAGTCTCACTGAAAATGAGTGGCCTAAGGGGGATATCACAGAATTCACTGCTCTGTCAAGTGAGAAACAGCAGTTCCTTCTCTCCTATTTTGTGATACCATAGTGGAATAGCT